TTTCAACCACACATTTCATAGTATACATTATACAGTCAATTAGACAATCAAAGGATGTCTTGTACTTTTAGTTTATGATATACTTCCTAATACCAGATGATTATACGATTGTCCTAACCAAGAAATCAATCATGAAAATCTTCAGAAAATAAAAGACCATACGTGCAAGCTGGGCTCTACTCTCGAGTTTCATAGCTTTTCGGAGCCATTCAAATCGTAGTATGGGATAGGCTCTTCAACTCTACGAGGATGAAGTTTTGCCTCTTAATGCAATTTTTGTTGCTTCAATTTCCTAGTACAATTTGCAAAATCAATATCTTTGGTGTTAGATATTCCACATTAGCAGCATTCACAACAAAGATGTGGACAAATTCTCACCTCATGAAGACCACTGATGAATGTCAATCATATGCGACAGTCACATTATTAAATATATAAAATAAAATTGTAGCAAAAGTGAATAAATATGAACCCCCAACAAGATAATCACAATGGGTGAAGTAACTATGGAACAGAAGAAGAAAATGACTAACTAGATGTGCAAATTTTTAAAGTGGCTTTATGGAAATTATACAAATCAAGAAGTCAATGAAGCCCATAATAAATGTCACTAATTACATTCGTGCATGCATACGTAAGTAGTAGTGCGCTCTAATGGATGCATATAAACATACCCTCACACATGTAAGACCTTCAATATTAACATTACAAAGGATGTCATTAGCTTTGAAAACATCAGAAGGGCAACAGCAACCAACAAACTAGATTACGAACTTCAGAGCCCCAGAATTATATTCGGAAACAACCACGCTTGGAAGACCTGTTATGTTCGTTTAGGGATACTATTATAAACGAATAAGAAGATACCGGATTACTTTTATACCAATTCGTTAAAATAATAGGCGAGAAAAGAAAATATGACATAATATGAAGTAATTGATCACAACACAAAAACAAAATAATTTGCAGAGTAAAGGAGATTTCACTAAAATATGTAGAAAAAATACAATGATTATGTATTTATAATTTGTTCAATTTAATCTAAAATATATTGAAAAGCTAAATATATATAGCACATGTTTCAAACCTTAAAAGTAGAATTTAGATGGAAAGGAATGCTCATAATGCGTCAAAACTTGAAAACAAGCTTGGGCAGTGCTCTCTACACAAAATTTTGACGGCATCGCTCGAGCGGTAGGCTAGGGGCCAGCTAGTGTAAAGGCGCCGAAAATCCTCCATGGTCCACATCTTGATCTCTTTAAGTCTAACACAATTTTCAACTCTCAATTGAGTTTTCAAATAGAATTTCAACTAGAATTTGCCAAATATAACTCGAATAGGATTCTAAATAATATTCCAAATAGAATTTTTCTTCATTCGACTTTAATTAAAATTCTCAATTATCTTCCAAATAGAATCCGAGTCACACGCTAATTCTAACAATCTCCACCTTGACCCAAATTTCATTGCAATCAGTAAATTTCAAAGATTTTCCACTTGGAGACAAATTTCACTGCAAGGAATAAACTTCAACCCTTCAACTAAAATAGAAACAAAATTCTCCATCAAAATTTCCAACTGAAAATATTCTCTAAAAATCTGTCACCCAATTAGGACAAAACTCAATAAATAAGTATTAACAAAATTTCAAGCATTGGGCTTGGACATCGATAAACAGGGCATAAACAAACCCTGAAACAGAGTCACCACAACTGGATGCATCTATAGAAGGATTTTGGCTGGAATCAACAACCTTATCCGCATTCAAACCATAATCAACTAAATCAAAAGCATTGTATAGATGTGGAGGCTTAAAATAAAAAATGGGTATGTTACTAACAATTGAATACAATGGCACCCCCGATAATGGTTGCAAAATGGAATTACCTATAACTTCCAAACTCAATTGAGATGTACTCTTTAAAGAAGACTCTAAATTAGACTCCAATAGAACAAAATCCAACTCCAAATCTACCTAAGTTTTTAAAATATGCTGATTGATCAAAGATTCAATTTAACACTGAAAGACATATAACTAGGATTTTCTGTCTTTTCAACAAAACATGGACTAATTTACTAACCTTCAAGACTCTACCTTCAAGGAGATAAGATCTCTGTTCAAATCTGGAACATAACTCACTACATCAAGTGTTCTAACCATCACATCAAACATCGTTATTCTAATCTGACCGATACTAGTTATCCTACAAGATGTATTATTTTCCATTACCACAACACCTTCCGAAACTATTTCATATATTGAAAATGAATACCGATTGAGAAACATATAAAATATGTAAGATGTATCAAGAATCCAATCCTCGTAAGGTTTGGAGTCGTAGTTAGATATAAATAAAAGTTCTCTAACAATGTGAGAAGTTTCTGCTGCAATAGTTTTACCTGAAGTATATAATTGCTTTCCAGTCTGAAAAGTTACAGCCAATTTTTCTCTATTCTGCAATAAATAGCAATTCTTAATTAGTACCCCGAATTCTTGCAATAAAGTTTGAAGTCAGACCTTAATTTGCCCCTTGCACAACCACCATCAAGAACAAGGCCATGTCCATGAACCTCGACAATATGTTTCATCTACTCCTTTGAAAATAGAGCATCATAGGACTTGTCTTTTTGCACTCTTATTTAATACCTAAATATGTTTATTATTGATGAAAAATCTGCTATCGACTAACAATTGGCTAATTTTGACTTTTGTAGATCATAAGCCCGAAATAGAAAGAGAACAAGGCAAAAGGGACTGAAAATGGACTAAAATTGTGCAAAATTGTGAATTTGAGGACAAAGTGAACAAGTCAGAAAGTTCAAGGACTTGGGTTGCAATTTTGGAGGGCATGATCGATATAAAGTCAAAATCTAAAGACTAAATTGTACAAGATCAAAGTTGAGGGACATTGCGTGCAAATTACTAAAGGACTTGTGTGAAAAAGAAAATAAAGAAAAAAATGGAATCATGGCAGAGAAGTAAACTTGGGGGACTATTTTTGTCGCTTGCCAAAATCAGGGACCATGGCTATAATTTCTTGACGATTCTGAG